TCAAGCAGCTATTAGCCCTCTGTTTTGCTGACTATGGACATGATACATCAATGCTAAAATCATGTTTTTAAACCACTTTTCTAATGTAGGGATAAACCCTCCAGTTTCCCTCAATAAGAAGCTCTCAGCAGTGCAGCAGCTATTGACAACTACAGGATCAATTCTTCATTTTTGCTAATGAAACCCAAGAAATGGTTTTTTACCACCTTGAGTTAATGGACATTTTCCTGAGCAGTGAAATCCGTTCAAGGGCAACAACAAGAGCTACTGGATGAGTGTGAGAGACCTGAGAGGGGCAGAGTTGTAGGTGTTAGCAGTGTTGGTGTCTGGGAATCATCTCAGAGAGAGCAACTGGGGTAAAGCAGCATTTATTCTGGAAACTGGCTCAGAGATGGTCATGGGGAACTGGTGCAAAGTACAGTTATGGCTCTTTGGAGGTTTTTTTTCCATTTAGATAGTCCATAACTTCTCCATTTCAGCTCATTTTGAAAAATCTGCTTGGAAAATGCAGCAAAGAAAGACTCACTCTACAAGAACCCTGTCAAGAAGATACGTGTGGAGGAGATACTTGACGTTACATAGCTTTAGGCTCTTATATTTTCCATTTTTCATGTGGTGAAACCATTTCAGCAGCGATAGAGATTGTGCTGAGCTGTTGTTAGGCTTTCAGCTCCTGCCTGCCATCCTTCATGAGAACCAGGGATTTCTGAATGAGAGGAAAATAGGGAATTTGAACACTGTCAAACACTCTGCACCACGAAAGTGGATCAGGCAGGAGATTAGTGAAACACTCTGTCAAAACAACTTGTCTCCTTGATCTCAAAGCTGATATTTGAGTGGGGGGAGTGTTCGGTTCTTAGAGAACTAATGCATTAAAACTCTGCCCAAACTGTTATTTTTAAAGTCCTCTAAGGTGATCATGATTTTATTTCTGATTATGAAACCTGTAAGACCATTCAGGCACCTCTTCTACTCACGTGCTGTGTCCAAGCCATGCCTGAAGAGCCTGTTGTGAGGGCAGAAATTGCATTTATAAGGAGCTCTACCAACTAAATCCACTGAGTTCTTCTCCCTTGAGCATCCCTGAAGTTCTCCTCAGCCTTTTTCATGACTAATAACAGTCATTTAGCCTCTCTCAGATACAACAGTGTCACCACATCAGATGAGTCAAGTCACTGCTCCAACATACACTTCTTGTCCACAGTGAGCACAAAGGAATCAGCTCTGATCACAGACAGAGAGGGGTAAAACTCTACCCAACTCAGTCAAAACTCAAATTACCTATCATCTGTTGGCCTCCTACCAGCATAAGGCAACTTCATCAGTGCATCAGAGGTGTGTGCAACACTCAGTTATCAGCTATGTAAAACTTTGGATGGCTCAGTCCTTTATTCCAACATTAACCCATGCAGGTGTGCCACAAAGTGGGCACTTCTCCAGGGCTGCATCACATCCCTTTCCCAAATTAGCACTAGAACAACTGCAAATTGTTAATGCCTCACAGTCAGAGTCCATCCTGCAGATAGCAGTGCACAGAAAAGGCATAAAAATCACAGAATCCATCAGGTTGGAAAAGACCTCTGAGATCATCAAGTCCAACCTATGACCTAACACCACTACACCAACTAGACAACAGCACTAAGGGCCACATCCAGTCTTTCCTTAAACACCTCCAAGATGGTGACTCCACCACCCTCCAAATGGCAAAACTTAGCTTAAGGAAAGCAAAAATATATTCTCCAGATGACTTTGGGTCAAATTTGGGGTGATAGTCATGTGACTGAGATGTTTCTCTTTCCTCAAAGCCATCAACCAGCACATCATATGCTCTGCAAATGCACTAGTAACTAATGAGACACTTCAGGCTGTGGATATGTGGCACACTTGTATTTAATTCAGCACTGCAAGTGTGCCAGCACTCAATCTCACTGTACATTTCCCTCCACCTTTCTGGAGTTAGGAAATAATCAACGCTCAGAGTGCAAGACTGAGAGCAGCATCCAACCCTATGTCCTACAATGCAAAGAGCACCCACAGCCCTGTTCGTATCAGAGTTATTGTTAGATCTTCCCCTCCATCTCGGAGAAGGAGAGTGTTTGGCTAATCAACACAAGAGGTACCCACTTGATGTCACCACAACCCTGGCATTCAACAACATTCAGAGTTTTCAGTGTCACTCCAGGAAGGTCACTGTCATGGCCCAAGAGCTGGCCAGCCCATCATGTGCACTGGGAAGCTCCCAACTAACCCAGACAGAAGTACCCATTCACCTTTACCCAGAAGGATCACATGAGTGCAACCAGTGTTTCATGTTCCATCTATCTTCTTTGGGCAGGATCCTGTGAGCTGCTCTGCTCTCAGGGAACAAGTGAGCAGACAAGAGGAAACAGCCTCAAGCTGTGCCAGGGGAGGTTTAGGTTGAATATTAAGGAAAATTTCTTCATGGAAAGGGTTGTCTAGCCCTGGCACAGGTTGCCCAGGGCAGTGGTGGAGTCACCATTCCTGAAGGGATTTAAAAGCCATGTGGATGTGGCACTTGGGGACATGGTTTAGTGGTGGCCTTGGCAGTGCTGGGGGAACAATTGGACTCGATGATCTTACAGGCTTTTTCCAGTCTAAACAATTCTGTGATTCTACTGCCCAATTTACGTCCTGTTTCAATAGAATCAGGCAGTTCCAGGAGCTAAGAAGGACTGAGATCTGCTGGATTCATGGATGCTTTCTCTAGGTTAACAAGGCAGCTTTGGCCACTTCATCAATTCAGTTCCTCCCATCCAACTCCAGCCTGAGCACATGGATTGTCACCTGCTTCCAGGTCCCTTCCATTGTCATCCTCTTCAGAGTGGTTCTGGTATCCTGAGCAAACATTCAGCCTTGCTGGGATCTACCCATAGAATCTTAGAATCATGGAAGAGTTTGAGCTGGAAGGGAGCTGCAAAGATCACCTCATTTCAACTGTAGGCTGCAGGAACACCTTCCAGTAGACCGGGTTGCTCCAAGCCCCATCCAATCCAGCCTTGAACACTTTGAGGGATGGAAGAAGCTCACTCACTGCTCCCTGTGTTTTGGACTAATTAATGCAGCAGTTAAATACAACAAGCTCATACTGCAATTCTACTTCAGGCTTCTCCCAAGAGTCAGAAAAATCTACACAAAACCCCCTGACATAACGGACACTGTGATCAAAGTGACCCATGACAAGGTTTTACTACAAACCCCATAATTTTTCACACCAATGTGCTAACATTTCTTTAGGAAAGGCATTGTTGCCATCATTTCCTCTCTCCTCCTCTGCCCCATATCTTTATTTCACACTCAGAACCTTCCAGCTTGCACCGGTTCACCTACTCCACACGTTGTCATGACTGATGGAAACAAGAACCACATTTCTTTGCCTGCTTTCTCCCCCTGCAATTCTGAATGAACTCTGTGAATAGCCTCAGATTGTCACTATGCAAAATGTAGGTCAAAAGTCTGCGTGGTTTGCCACAGAGAATGACTTGTGTGTCATCTGCCTTCAGGCAGATGGGAACTGAGTCATCTGCTGCTGCATCACTCTGCTCTTCTCCTTTCTCAACCCTGAGTTCTTTCTCCTTACCATCAGATTAGCTGAAAGAATGCAGTGACATCAAAAGAGCAGGAGGTGCTCTTGTTCCACACAGAGAGGGGATATTGCCCATTGATTTTTTGTGGAAGCTGTGTCTCTTTCCCAGCACAGCACCTACCACATAAGCTGCCACTTCCTAAAGTGAGCACAGGTTTTCATTTCCTTCATTTACATGTTTCACAAGAAGAAAGCATCACCTGTGAACAGGAAAAAGAGGTTATTTGATCTACAGGGTGTGGGAGAAGAGCTCTCCACCACTTCCACCACAGTTTATTTGGGAGATGCACTGACATAGCTACTCCTTATATCTCCTCAAGCAGGTTTGCTGATCAAATCATGCTGTTCTTTATCTGTCATTAAATTCCACAGAACTGAAGTATTTTGTGCTAAATGCACAGACATAGAGCACAAAATAGCCCCTGGGTCAGTGTCATGGTCAGAGAAGAGCTCTCCACCACTTCCACCACAGTTTATTTGGGAGATGCACTGACATAGCTACTCCTTATATCTCCTCAAGCAGGTTTGCTGATCAAATCATGCTGTTCTTTATCTGTCATTAAATTCCACAGAACTGAAGTATTTTGTGCTAAATGCACAGACATAGAGCACAAAATAGCCCCTGGGTCAGTGTCATGGTCAGATGTCTACACATGATAAGGGAAATAAGAGTTTGAGGTAATACCCACAAGAAAATCAATGATTTTTGGTTCATGCTACTGATTCCGAGGTATAAGGCTCAAAAAGCAGTCCAGCCTCCCTGCAATACTCATCTCTGCTTCTACAAATTCCTTATGTAGAAGAATATCAGGCAAAAGCCCAAAAAAACAGGACGGATGGGGTCTTGGAAAGACCACCCAGCCCATTCCTGTGTCCCAAAGTTCTATCAAAAATGACCCTTTTCTCAGCAACTGCCCAAGCCCTGCTAAGACCTTCACATCAGTGAGGGTTCTGCAGCTCCTGCAGCTTCCATCCCGACAGCAGGAACATCACCCAGCAAGAAGCATCACTACTGATGGCACAGTCTACAACTTGAAGACATCCAAAGGTTATACATAACCCAAACAATATTTAATTCCATGAAGAAATTATAATTATTATAACCCACAGGAACACAGTAGGAGAAAGGGCTGATGGATCACAGCTGGTGGCACAAGAACCTATAGGACTGACAACAAGGTTTCCTTCAGCTGAAAAGAGAAAATTACTTCTTTTTGCTTTTAATAGTACAAGCACAGTTTTCAAGAGAAGCTGGGATGGGATTTTACCAGTAGAAACACCAAAAATGCTCTTCATCAGTGCATTTGACGGTAGATATGGCCTAAAGCCCCACCTCAGCCTCCACACATTAACCGCAGGAATAAGTAGAAATTTAACATAGGTTTTTCCCTCTTACCTCTTTGTTGGTGACTCCTGGGGGCAAAGTCCCATGTTTGTAATCCTCCAACAACTGCACAGCTTCCTTCAGACGACTCTGCAAATACAAACAGCAGTGTGGGCTGCAATGCTAGTCCTGCACTGAATCCTTTTATGGACGGCAATGGATGAAAGTTATAGAATTATATCATCTTTCATGCAAATCCTATAGAATCACAGAGGGGTTTGGGTTGGAAGGACCTTAAAGACCACCTTGTTCCACCCTCTTCCATTAGACCTGGTTGCTTCAAGCCCCATCCAACCTGGCCTTCAACACTTCCAGGGATGGAGCAGCCACAGCTTCTCTGGGCAACCTGTGCCAGTGCCTCACCACCCTCACAGAGAAGAATTTCTTCCCAATATCCAATCTAAATCTCCCCTCTTTCAGCTTAAAGCCATTATAATGGGTCCTTTCATCCATGTGGTATAAAAGCATAAAGGATGAGTGGACACTTGTCCTGGTGGCTGACACAGCCCTGCTGTTGTATCTAACTGCAGAAGTTGGAGTAAAATAGAGGTGTAGAGAAAGAACCCCTTTTTCTTTGATGTCCAGTGACAGGACCCAAGGAAATGCCATGGAGCGGTGTCAGGAAAAGTTTAGGTTGATATTAGGCAAAAGTTCTTCCCCCAGAGGGTGTTTGGGCACTGGAACAGCTCCCCAGGGCAGTGGTCACAGCCCCAAACCTGACAGAGCTCAAGGAGCATTTGGACAGTTGCTCATTTGCACATGGTGGGATTGTTAGGGTGTCCTGTGCAGGACCTGGAGTGGGAATGATGACCTTTGTGGGTCCCTTCCAACTCAGGATACTCCATGATTTCATGCGTTCAAGTGACCACAAAGCATTAAGCCATGCTAAGAACCTGTCAGGATCATCAATTTACTCCCAGAACAGTTATTCACACATATAGAAATATAAAGAAATGTCCTGCAATTGAAGCAGTCAAAATTTATATATATATCTATAACTCTCTAATAGTTTCAAGAACTATATATATAATCATTCCAATAAATATACATATAGTGTGATCTTAGAGGTCTTTTCCAACCTGAAGGATTCTATGATCCTATGAAATAAATAGAGAAATATAGAATCACTGTGTGCATATACAGTGTATTATATAGAATGTATGTATACATATTTTTCTGGAGTATATATATATTTGCATCTAATATATATTTATTGAAATAAAAAAACACAGGGCAGAAGTAGACAGGTAAAAAGATTTTTTGATTAGTCCAAGCTAAAGAGGAACAAGCTAGGTTATAAAGAGCAGCTTTGGTGGGGTTAAATATGCCTATCCAAGCCTGAAGAAAGCACCAGATCACCATTTGTCTCCCAGATATTTAAACCCAAACAAATCACTCAGTTAAATGCTTTCCCAAGTCTTCTGTAGATTATCTGTCATCCAGCTGAGTAACCCACTTTGGACAGACATTTCAGCTCTAGCTCTGGGAGTTTTTTGGGCAGTTTTTCTAATATCAGTGCTGGAGGACATACCAGAAATATGGAATATTTTGCCCAAAATAGCCCATAGTGTGCGAGTGGCTCATGTATAGCCTCGTGGGCTTAGTGCAATCCTGTTAGGGCTCCTTGTTGCCATCACAGGCTCAGCTCTCACAACCTCACGTCAACAAGCTGAGCCTCCCCGAGCTCATTAGGAGCTCATACCCATGGGATCCGTGGCAGGGGAACTACTTCTCTCCCTTTCATGCCAACATCAAAGAGTACTTTGTTGTTTCCTTGGAAGCACCAGCAGTTATGCCAACCTGAAAGTGGCAATTAATGAATTACTATTGTCCTGCAAACATTCAACACACAAGACATATGGAATAGTGGCAATTCCTTCACTTGGGATCAGATCCATGGCTGTTTTTCCAGTGGCTGAGCTCACATCATCAGTGCCACATTATTTCCAGCCCTTTTAGTTTATGGATTTTATATATTCTTGCAGGGATCAGCAGCTACTCAGCAGAAGCAGAAAGTCTGCATAAAGACACCAAATGAGGGTTTTAGCATCAGATGGGAGAAAACTCAGCAAAAAAGCTGATATTCTGGAAAAATTTGGGCTCAGAGGTGGGACTTGTTTGTGTCGGTCAAGGTCAGTGGTACCAGTCAAAGCTCACAGCCCTGTGGCACTACACACATGCAACAGGTGATAAATTTTTGGGTTCCTGCCCTATTTCTGGGAATGTTGGCCTGAAACTGGTTCCCTCTTTGACTCAGCCCATCCCACGCTCCAAGCCTGACATGTCCCTCCAGAAAGAGCTGGGGACCATCCTTCACAGGATTGCAGAATGGGTCAGGCTGGAAGGGACCACAGTAGGTCAATCTGGTCCCAACTATCTGCTTAAGCAGGGTCATCCCAGACTGTATGGCATGGCATTGCATCCAGATGGTTCTGGAATATATCCAGTGAGGGAGAATCCATGAACTCACTTCATCCACAACCTTCTCACACTTTTCTAAGCCTGGGACTTAGAATCACAGAATATCCTGAGTTGGAGAGGACCCACAAGGATCATTGAAATCCAACTCCTTACTTCCCAGAGCTGCTCTGGAATTCTCCTACCAGCTGGGGCCTGGGTACACTTGCAGATTCAGGCATCCCCCACCGCTGCTGGCACATTCATTCCCCATCCCAAAAGGAACCAGAATATGTTGAGAGTATGAAGGATCTCAAAGAAAGATACTGAAGGCCAACATTAGGCTCTATTTTAGTGCCAACTGTGAGCAATTTCTTTTTCTCCTCTATTCTCATTTTACTGGGGTATTGGGAAATTCAGAAAACTACATCCATCAGTTTTTACTGATGTTGTGGTATTGAATGAGGCTGATTGAGTGTGTTCAGGAATCACCACCCCTCTCCAAAGGCCAGGCAATCCCATATCACCTAAAAAACTGGCAGAGGAACACTATGCCTTACTCCAAAAACCAGGGAATGACAATATGTAAAAGCTTTCATGACTAGTTCAGTAAAAACATCCATCCAACTTCTCCAACAGTGGCCACAAGCAGGTACTGAGCTCTTCTCCCTGGTAACCAGTGACAGGACCCAAGGGAATGGCATGGAGCTGTGTCAGGGGAGGTTTAGGTTGGATATTAGGAAAAGGTTCTTCGCCCAGAGGGTGTTTGGGCACTGGAAGAGCTCCCCAGGGCAGTGGTCCCCAAGCCTGACAGAGCTCAAGGAACACAAGGAAAAGCAAGAAGGTGGCAAGCAGAAATAATCTCTCCCCTAAGCACCTTCCCAGGCTCCCACAGCCTTCAGCCAAGGCTGATGAGGTTTCTGTGGGTTTAAGTGATCTTCAGGGGATTTCTCCTCCAGCTGTTTGCTCTGTATCCCCTTGAACCAAGCCACCATCATTCAACTAGACGTAACAGAAAAACTGTATAGCCACAAAAACTTGTGTCTTAGCTCTCAGCCCCCTTGCCCTGTGCATACACTTGCTAAATCTGCCTTAAAATTGAAACCTAGGTTAATACAAAATAACATGCACATGATAGAGTGAGTATGTGAGGCCTCTCCTGGAAGGAATTGGCATTCTTTGAGCCTAAATGTGTCCTTAATGCTTTAATGGATAAGGCTGATCACTGGTCATACATTTCTATGTCTATTCACCATCCCAGGAAAGAAATGAGTATTATTTAAGCCAGGTCCCCTTGACATTGGAGAAAAAAGGAGTTATGAATTAAGGTGGCATTTTGACACCATCCCTGGAGGTGCTCGATGAGAGACTGGATGTGGCACTTAGTGCCATGGTCTAGTTGCCATGGAGGTATTTGGTCATAGGTTGGACTTGATGATCTCAGAGGTCTTTTCCAACCTCATTGACTCTGTGATTTCCCAGTGATACAGCACTGGGTGTTGCACTGTTCCTCCAGAAGGGCTGAGGATCTCACACAGAAGAGAAGCTGACCTTAAGAATAGGTACATGTGATGAATTCCAACATCATGAACACATGGCCATGCACTTGGGCAAGTTCAAAGTTCTGCAAGACCCTCAGTGCTCTGTAGCTGGAATGACCAGCCATGACCAACTTCCTTCCCTATGAAGACAGGCTGAGAGAGTTGAGGCTGCTCAGCGTAGAGAAGAGAAGGTTGTGTGGAGACCTCAGAGCAACCTGCCAGGATCTGAAGGGGCTCGAGGGAAGCTGCAGAGGGACTCTTGGTTAGGAACTGCAGTGACAGGACAAGGAGTGATGGGGATAAATTGAAAGAGGGAAGTTTAGATTAGACATCATGAAGAAGTGTTTCCCTGTGAAGGTGGTGAGACACTGGCACAGGTTGCCCAGGGAGATTGTGGCTGCCCCAACCCTGGCAGTGTTCAAAGTCAGGTTGGATAAAGCCTTGAGCAACCTGGTGTGGTGGGAGGTGTCCCTGCCCGTGGCAGAGGGTTGGGACTAGATGATCTCTAAGGTTCATTCCAACCCCTTAAGGACCATAATACCATTAGAAAGACCAGTTAGGTGTGTTGATTGATTGCTGGAAAACTATGAACTGCTGCAGGTGTGAGAAACAAACAGGTTTTCAGGCTGTTTCAGGCATTTCCAGCCTGCAAAGAGAAGTAATCCAACAAGATCACAACAGGACTTGAGTCTCTTGAAGTTAATAGCTCTGTGCCTTATGGTTGTTTAAAAATGTCATGTTACAACAAAGATATTACCTAGCACCAACATCAATAAAATATAGTTGAATAATATCAAAGACAGCCCAATAATCCAGAGGTGAAAATCCTGACAGCTGACTACCTAATGACTACAGATCCAGGGAACCAGACAACACTTCTTGCCTCCAAAGCTAGCAAATAACTCTGGAGTGCCAGCACAACATTCTGGGGAGCCATTTGTGCTCATTACTGCTATGTGTTTTTGTCACTGAAATTACCTACACTGTGTGTCTTGCAAATTATCTCCACAGAACAGCATGTAACTCTGAATGAAAAACTGGAAGTAATAGATGAATGGGTCTGTGTTCTATTTTTTTCCTCCTTCTCTTGAGGAAATCTTAGTAGTTACTATAACAACCCTGGCCAGATCCCATCTTGTTTGGTGTGGTAACAAACAGAAAACAAAAAAGCTCAAGGTTGCTTTTAAAATCACAGCCTTCATCAATTCCCTCTTTCAGCTCCTTGGGGAAAGAGGGGAACTTTTGTAGAAAAAATAGTCCTGGACCAACACTGCTGATGGTTCTGAGGTTGACAAAAGAAAGGGAACAAAAGTGTTAAACCAAGGGCTGCATTATGATGCCTTGCACATGGCTCTGAGGTGTTCAGGTAGTTTCAGCAAATGACCCACAACCTCAAAATTTAGTGAAAAGCCACAGTTGCTTCATATCCCTTCTGGAAAAGTCAAGCACGGTTTTTTAACCAGAATCTCCAAAAAAAAAGGAACAAACTTTACGACGTGCAACAGCTCCAAATGCCAACCAGCTCCGCTCGGCGGCTTTCAGCACGATGCAGCATTACTCTGATAGCTGATAATGTCTAAGATTACACTTCATCTCCATTTTAACAGGAAAAAAGAGGTCTGTCTACAAGGTTGTGCTACTGTTTCAATATTTATTGTTGCTTGATTTCTCTACTGCTGTCTGTAGGATGAAGTGTCACTTGTGATTTTACAGCATCACTTCAAAAAAAACCCACAACCACGTTTTTTTCCTAGTGTGTATCACTTCTTTCATACCCCTTTTCTCATCAAAAAACTAGAGCACTTCTAGTGGTGGCTGATGGGGTCTCAGCTCTCACAATAGGGTGCTAGACAGACCATCTGCACCCAAAGGATGTTCTCACAAACCTCAGCCCACAAGCAGTGCCAGGGATCTACCATGCTCAGAGATTCAGCAGCACAAACTCCACGTTTGGGGCTCCACCACAGACATGTTCACCTGGGAAACAACACCCAACAACAACAGGTCCTTGGAAAAAGGCTCGATTGTTGCCTCATGCTGAACACAGCTGGAAAACACCCAAGTTTTGAACTACAGCTCAGCTCACTTAGAAGTATGGAATGGGCCATCACTGTTCCCTGAGCCTGGGTTTTATGGTTATGGATGTGCTATTAAACAAGACAGAGCCTGGGTATGAGCCTGCATCAGCATGATATCTGGCACAATTTGGGTTCAAATCATCCAGCCCTCTGCCAAGTGATTCCCAGTCACAGACTGGGAGTTACCGTGGGCCAGGACAGCTGCCTGCAGGCACTTTTAGGAGAGGAAGAGCACCCAGCTGCACGGCACAGGGTACATCAGCTGTTGCAGGGCCAAACCCACCACTTGACTCAGTCTGAATCACAGAATCATTTAGGTGGGGAAAGACCTTCTAGATCACCGGGTCAAACCACTGCCTCAGCACTGCCAAGGCCACCACCAACCATGTCCCCAGGTGCTACATCCACACAGCTTTTAAATCACACCAGGGGTGATGGCTCTACCACTGCCCTGGGCAACCGGTGACTGGGCTGGACAGCCCTTTCCATGAAGAAATTTTCCCTAGTATGCAATCTAAACCTTCCCTGGTGCAGCTTGAGGCTGTTTCCTCTTGTCCTGTCACTTGTTCCCTGGGAGCAGAGCCCAATGCCCAACTGGCTCCAACCTCCTGTCAGGGAATTGTAGAGAGTGAGAAGGTTCCCCCTGAGCCTCCTTTTCTCCAGGCTGGTGTTTAGAAGGAGAAAGAAAGAAACCAGAGATGCCAGCAGGAAAGTATCCCACATTACATTGAGCTGCTGGCCACCTCCAGGAAGCCTTCATTGGCACCCTGAGTCCCTCACAGCAATGCAGCACCCAGGCAGGATAGAGAACAACCACATTGGGTCTCACAGATGACTGCACAAATGTACATGCATCAGACACCTTCATGCAGCTCATGAGCTCTTGTAGTGAGCTTCCACCTTGTCCCCTTCACTCAAGGGCACACACTGTTTCTCTCTGAAAGATCTGTGCCTTGTCTTCTCTTGGATCCCAAATGATGCCTGCACATGGCTCCGAGCTGCCTCCAGAAACCCATATGTGCACATACAGACCGTAATAACAGCCATTATGCCAGGAGCATGACAACATTCCTGCCACAGAATCAACATAGAAAGATGCTTTTGATGATTGTTAGAGCAAATCCACTGATGGGACAGAGTACTCTGCGCCAGTTTGTGTCTTGCTCTGTTCATACTGGGTTGTACTGGGGTTTTGGGAGTGGTGAACCACTGTGTGCTGTGAGTTTCACAGGTTTCATGCTCAGACCAATGATGACTTACTGGCACATGACCCAAATCAAGAGTCTTCTGGCCACTAGCACCACAAATTCAAGGCAGGGTATGAAAATCCAGCTGTGCTCTGCCATCAGCCACTCCACAGTTTCCCATTTTGTCTCACTGCTCCACGGATGACACATAAGGCAGACTTGACTCCAGCTGGCCCCATTGTATTGGATCCACAGTGACAGACAACAGGAGCCAGAAACTTTTTGTTCAAGTGGAGCCAGCAGATGTGACACTGAATAAACACAGACAGTCAATCTGCTGAGTAAGAAGGTATCGTTCATATAAATAACATACATCTAATCCTGCTTCCATTTTAAACCCAAATATGGGAATGCAAGATGCTCTACACTCTGCAGATTCAGGCTTTGAACAATGAGATAAAGCAAAAGCAGATATCACACAGCCCCTCAGAGCTCAGGTTAATTCTTATTTCACTTGTGCTTGAGATTATTATCAGATCTTTCTCCAGGAAGAGCTTCCCACAGAGTGTTAACAGTGTTCCCAGGCTGATGTCAGATGGGATAAGTTCACCTTAGCAAAATATCTGCCTCTCCCGATGGACCTTAATTACACAGCAATTAAAAGTATTATTCCAATCATTTTAAGCTCACACATTTTCATACTAGGCATTGCACCCACTGAGGGTCTCTCATGGCTTCAGCAACAGGACTTGACCTCTGAAGTGACATATCTCCTGCTTGTTGGGAAAGTTTGCAAATTTGCAGCTGCCAAAAAATTATTTCATTAGAAAGTCAGTAATGAGATCAATTAGCACAGGAGAAAACCTCTTTAGAGGTGACATCCAATATTGACACAAGGTCAGGGCTTTGTTTCAATTCATGTGCACTCAGAACACAGGAAAAATTGGTAGGTGATTTGATACAGGTAATTATTCTACCAGAACTCACTAAAGATAAGAGCACAGGTACAACATAATCCAGTGCTCAGTGTGCATCCATCCAGCATCACTCCTTAAGAACCTCTAAAAGACATGGAAGGTTTTAATTGTGTTAAGAATCTGCTATATTAAAAAAGAAATGAGTAAGAAAGGAGTGTCACTGAGACTGAATATACTCACTATCACTCAATTCCTCTCTCAGAGGGATCACTTCATCCTTCCATCCACAGCCACCAGTGGGATGGAAGGATATAACACACAGCAATTAAAAAAGGATGTAGAAAAGTAAAATACTTTTACATTTCCAGGCATTTTCCATGGGATTAACCTCAATTCTCATTAGAGAGGCATTTAGCTCCTTTTTTTTTCCCTTTTCTAGCAAGTTCCTCCAAGACAAACAGCAATTTATTTGTTCCCTGAGAACCCCAGGCCTGGAAGATGCAGCCATCTGTCATCTGAAGGAGCTCTCTGTACATGGCTGTGGCTCATCAAACCCTTTCTAGATGCTAATTTGCCACCTCAATTATCAAAGGAAACCAAACAGATTTGAGTTCTACATATGTACATACAAATTATTTTAAAGCATGAGATCAGCTACACAGAGCAGAGTAATCAGGACATGCACAAAGCAGATCTTGGGTCCCAAAAAGTGCTTTTTGTGACTCCAAGTGTCTATTTTGTCAAGAGACTTCTCCCGGGAAAGAGAACTCTTGCAGACATCACAAAATGTGCAGCGAGTCTACTGCCATATAATTCATCACTATCATATATAATTCAGACTCCCGAAGAAAACAGAGGCATTCACTTCCTTGGAAAGCCACCAAACCATTCCTGAAGATCATGAAGTCCACTTCTGTCCTTACAGATTTAAAGACCCTGAGTGTGTGAAGAACTGGACTCAGTTCACCACTAGCTACACTGAGCAGTTCAGCTCCCTGTGGTTTATTTGCTTACAGGTCTATTTTCATCTTAACACTCAAAAAAAAACAGGAAAGAAAGGGAAAATACAAAGGATCAAGCAGTTGCCCTTCACTGAAAGCAAACCCTTAATTTTTCTGGCCAATATGTAGAATTTCAGACCACAAGTAGAAATATTCCTTCTAAAGGATTCTTCATCACTCTTAGGCACTATTTCATGAAAGCAAAGCACTGCAATCATGGTGGGCAACACTAAATGGAAATAAAAGACCAGAAATCCCAAATCTGTTACAAACAGGGTAATAACTAAAGAAAGGTCTTCTTGAACGCAGCCACTGCAAATCTGCAGCATGAACCCACTCAGCTCACATCCTTCACAATTAATATTTGCTCTCTCTACTCACCTGCATTTTTTTCCATGAAGACATGTAGGAATTTTCCTTCTGAGAAGGCTAAATCACTGTCAAGTTTGCCTGAAAGCAGTACAGGGGCTCACCAGGTACTAAAGGGAGATGGGAGACTGGCAAGTGTGGATTCACCGCTGGCTAATACAAAGGAAGTTTCCATTACAGATTTAACAGAGCTCAGTTGGGCAATCAATCAGCTGTGAGACACAAATCCACTGGAAACCTGTTTTCATTACTTCTGCTGTTCACAGGAGAAATTGTTTTTAATCTAAACCTGTCTAATAAACAATACTTTCTGAAAACAAGGTGTGTATACATTACCTCAGTCACAAAGAGAGTGCGAGGGTCGATGATGTCCAGGAAGTGCCTGAATCTGCCATAAAATGAAGTCTGGAAAAACAGGGAAAGAAAACAAAACATGTTCAGTGAGAAATTGCCCATCAGCTGCTGCAAAGACAGGTTTGATTCCCTCTGAAGGACTAAGCAGCAACTAAAAACAAACAATAGAGAAGGTATTCACTGTTAATTTGTGATAGAAAGTCTGAAAGGAAAAGATGAGGACTTGGATCCAATAGAATTTCATACAATTCCATAGAATGTTAAGGGGTTGAAATGGACCTTAGACATCATCCAGCCTCAAACCCCATGCCCTGGGCAGGGACACCTCCCACCAGACCAGGTTGCTCAAGGGCTTATTCAACCTGACCTTGAACACTGCCAGGGTTGGGGCAACCACAGCCCCCCTGGGCAACCTGTGCCAGTGTCTCACCACCCCCACAGGGAAAAACTACTTCCTGATATATAACCTAAATTTCCCTCTTTCAATTTATTCCCATTAGTCCTTGTCCTGTCACTGCAGTTCCTAACCAAGAGTCCTTCTGCAGCTTCCATGGAGCCCCTTCTGCTCCTGGCAGGTTGCTCTGAGGTCTCCACACAACCTTCTCTTCTCCAGGCAACCAACAGGACACTAATACAGGTGCTTTAATAAAGGGATCCTATCAAGCTGCTATAATATCCTTTACTTTTCCCCACAAAATGAAATATTGGCTATGGGATTCCTGGGAGATGCCTAAAACCAGAAAATCCCAATGTGCATCTCCAGATTTCCCACACTGAGCAAGGCTGTTGAGGGAATTCCCAGCCTGCAGCACCTTTACAATAGTCCCTCTGCTGTTCGTCCTTATTCCTGCCAGCACCCATGTCACAGGACCAGCAGTGACACAGGGTCATGGATTTTGGGGGCAGACTGGCATGAAGTGAGACATTGTGGACTCCCCATCCCTGGACGTGTTCAAGACCAGGCTGGATGGGGCTTGGAGCAACCTGTTCTGGTAGAAGGTGTCCCTGTCCATGGCAAGGGGTTGGAATGAGATGATCTTCAACATCTCTTGCAACCCAAATCATTCTAGGATTCTCTGGATCCCTTTCTGGTCCTTCAGACACTTGTTGCTCCCAGCAAAAGCATCTTCACCAGCTATTGCACAGCTTTATCCCTACATAAACATGTCTAGCTTGAAGTTTTCCAAATGTGCCACTAAGAACAGATTCAACTAGACCAGGTTTCTCAGGGCTCCATCCAACCTGGCCTTGAACACTTCCAGAATAGGGAAGAGAGTGTGAAAGAAGTGGGAGAGATCTGTGAAACAGGGTGGGAAGATCATGGGCACATCCAAAGGAAAGGAGAAAAGGACACTCAGTATTTGGAAATTAATATCCTGAGTTGGAAGGGAACCACATAGATCATCCAGTCCAACTCCAGGCCCTGCACAGGACAACCCAACAATCCCATCATGTGTCTGAGAACGTTGTCCAGACAATCCTTGAGCTCTGTCAGGCTTGGGGCTGTGACCACTGCCCTGGGGAGCTGCTTCAGAGCCCATCACTCAAACATCAGTCTGGATTCCATGATCCAGATGTGGGCTGAGTGTCAGACCCTCATCCAGACACTGGCAAGGCCAAGTGGATGCAGGGTAGCCCAGTCCAGTGGTTCCTCTCTCTCCCATAGCTTCCCTTCCAGTAGAACTCACAGCCCACCACGGATGTGAAAAGGACCATGGTGATGGTGATGGCCATGGAGATCACAGACCTCCACAGCCTCTCAAACACTGGGACCCCTTTGGTGTTCTCCAGCCATATTCCAGCAAATCTCTTGCTGCGTTTGCAACGCACAAACGTGCTATAAATAAAGGAGTGGAGTGTGGATACAGCAGTGGGAATGGCATTTAATCATTCCTGGCATCAGTTCCTGAGACATGCTGTTTCTTCTCTGCTCAATCAGAGAAATACCAGGAGTTCTGCCTACTTATTCCAGCAGAAATCCCTCTCTAAGGGCCATTTCCAGCAGCACTGCTGACCACCTCACACTGCAGCACCTCGTCCCCAGCTGCTCCGAAAACTCTCTCCGATATTTTTTTGTGTTCTGCACCAAAAAAAGAAAAACCCACAATGACACAAAATAGCTGCACACAAACTCCAGGGAAAAAAAGCACAGAGGTTTTTAATTAGCATCCATTTAATTAACACTAATTCTGGTGCTTTACAGCTTTGGTGAGTTTGGCATTTTGCTGCCTCACTTTTATTTTGAGCATGAAGATTCTGCAGATGCCACTGTGCTCCTCATCACCACTGCCCAACGCCTGCCAGTGGTGCAGGGAGGGATGTGACTAATGCCTGACTCACTTGGTCCCTCCTCAGTGCTCCCACATACATCGTCCCTCTCCCACTGCCCATCCCTCAGCACCTGCTCAATGCTAAGCAGCCATGGGAGAATCCAGAGCAGTTGGAAGTTTTAACAAGAACAGAAAGGGAGGATTTGAAATTTGAGTGGTCTCAACTTCTCCGCTGCTTTTATCATTGTGGTGCTTATTGCACAGTGAGAAAACCAGCATTAAATAGAATTAAATAGAATGTCAGTGGTTTACACCCACTTGACTAAGGTGTAAATGCCAAGGAAGGGGGAAGGAGGTCAAATGTGCAGGATAGAAATGTGATTTTATAAGTACAGATACGAATTTTCCAAGCTGCCCAGGCCCTCAGGAAGCTGATCCTGTAGCCCAAGGCTGTGTTTTGTTTGGCTCAGGTACAGTTCTGGGCCCTTGCTCTGATACTGCCTGGTCAAGCTCAGCCACACCCAGCTAAGGACATGCTTCAGCAGCTCAAATCCATCCTGATGTAATCCTGTTCCTACACTCCCTACTCCGCTCCTGCCTTGTGCCAGTGCTGATACTCACGTGATGCTTTAACTGTGTGATCAGAGAGCTAAAAGTGCCCAAAGTCTAAGCCATAAATCATAGAATCATTAAATGGTTTGGGTTGGAAGGCACCTTAAAGACCATCTGGCTCCAACCTCCTGCCATGGGCAGGGGACACCTTCCACAAGACCAGGTTGCTTCAACCACCCACCCTGCCCTGGAACACTTCCAGGGATGGGCCAGCCACAGCTTCTCTGGGCAACCTGTGCCAGCACAGAAAGGAATGAGGGATTCATTTCCAGGTGGTGTTGCCTGAGTCTGTTCTGTAGTCAGACCATCCCCAGGGCAAGGGCAGGACTGTCTGAGTGGAGTCAGGACAAAGCCCGCAAGATGCCATAAGGTAGTTCATGGCATAAGGTCACCCAGGGCCAACAGCTTGGCTGCCAGCAGCCAGGACTATTTCAGTGCTTGATTCCTTCATCCCTGCTTTTAAAAATTAAAGAAATAACCTTCTTGCTATGGCTACTTCAAAGAAAGGACAATGGGAATGCATGGGCACTCCTTCCCTAGGCTGGAACACCAGGAGGAATTCAGTTCTGAAGAACATCTTTTTAGCCAGGGCAAGCAGTGACAGGACAGAGGGAATGGCTTTAAACTAAAAAAAGGGAGATTTAGTTTGGATATTAGGAAGAAATTTCTCCCTGTGAGGGTGGTGAGGCACTGGCACAGGGTGCCCTCAGAGCAGCTGTGGCTGCTCCATCCCTGGTAGTGTTCCAGGCCAGGCTGGATGGGGCTTGGAGGAACCTGGGCTAGTGGAAGGTGTCCCTGCCCACGGCAGAGGGTTGGAACTAAATGGACTTTAAGATCCCTTCCAAAGCAACCCATTCCATGACTCTATGATCTCTGACCATCAGGAATATACAGGGAGCAGGTGAAGAGACCTGAGCTCTAGCCCACCCTCTCCACCCTACAGCAGGCAACAAGACCAAGACAGCTGTGGTTTCCTTTCTTTTTCCATTATCACAAGCTGTCCAAAACACAATTCCATGAACGTGCTCTTGAATATGCTCTTCCTTCCTGCTCTTATAAGCAAGTAAAAACCTCCTCTTAAAAGTCTCACAAGAAGGCAACTGTGTTGCTCAACCACCCCAAACTCTTTTCACCTTAAGAGCTATTGCCACCCTGAAGCACAATATCCATCACCCTAATTAAAGCCAAAATCTTCCTGACCTTTCCCGGATCCCACAAAATGGGATGAGCTGCACTCCAATGATGTGAGTTATCCTTTAACACATTCTGATCAGCTCAGCACACTCTCAGGTTTCCTCAACACCTCTCATCACCACCCTTCGACAGCACAGCTGAAGACAAGCCATTAAGAACTCCTCATTCTGCTGCCTCCAGTCCAGGGTCCTTCCAATGAGGCAACTGCAATAAACCTCCATCACTCCCACATCCAGGCCAAGATTTTAAAGAGAACACCAAAAACCAGAGGAGTATCAGTCTGAACAAGTTTTGGTTTGTTATACTCTGATGAATAAGAGCCTCATTTTTCACAACAAAACCCCTCTGAGAACCACATCAAATGGAAGCAAGCTCAGATCAAGAGTCAAATTGCCTTCTTGAGGCTTCATATAACCCTCCTCACTCTAAACTTCACTGCTCAGCTCTCCTGCAGTGTCTCAGCATAGAAAAAAATGCCCATTTTTTTTTCCTGCTGTTCAGCCACAGGACTTTCTTTTTCCTTTTCAGACGACTATGGAAAGCTGCTTTGCTGCTAGACTGTGCTGGTTGCCTCTCCATGATCCAGGCCATTTCCTGCTTCCTGGGTTTAGACTCCTGACTAGAAGCCATCAGATTTCTTTCTAATTAAAGATTGGTTTTCATAGAACTGCAAGGATACAAAAGGCAAAAAAACCCAGTTCCTAAAATTCAGAAATTTAGGGGAAATTCTTGGCTGTGAGGGTGGTGAAGCACTGGCCCAAGTTGCCCAGAGAAGCTGTGCCTGTCCCGTCCCTGGAAGTGTTCCAGGACAGGTTGGATGGGGCTTGGAGCAACCTGGGCTAGTGGAAGGTGTCTCCACCCACGGCAGGGGGTGGGACTGGATGGGCTTTAAGGTCCTTTCCAATCCAAACCACTCTATGATGGCAAGTGAACAGGATGAGAGGATCAAGCCCAAGATATAGACATAGCCAAGCA